CCATCAGTGACACTGGGAGGGTGTCAAACGACACCTGAGCTTGGCAGCTGGGACTCAGACTGGTCCCCAAGAGATCCCAGCCCCCTAAATGTAATTATTACGCTATAAAAGAAAATAAAGGCATGAAAACTGCAGAAAAAGTCTCACTATTACTATCAATCATCTCAGTGGCATTGCTATTCCCACCCATGGTGCTTTCTCCCCCTTCCTCTGGTTCTATGCCCACCGTTTCCTCACATGTCTGCTGGGCCCAACTACCTCCTCCACCCAGAAGCCCTGCAAACTCAGTACAGAGCCTGCGGTCTGGTACTAGCAATGGAAGTGCCATGTTCCTGGGCTATGGGACTCAAGAGATGGGGTGCACCTGCTGTGGATCCTGTTACACCGCGGGGCAGAGGAACGGGGACAGGAGACTGGACAAGGCTCAGGTCAATGGGCAAGCTGAGGCACAAGCCCCTCTGCTTTGGTTTCCCTCGTGAAAGGTGGCAATGCCTTGCACCAGCCATTTCCTCAGGGATGCTCCAGTTGAAGCAGAGCTGTTGTTCTTTGGAAACACCCCCACCCCGCTGTGATCCGGGGGTGTTACAAGTGCTTCATGGGGGTCCATCTGGTGGGGATGTCTTCTGCAGTGCACAGAGAGAGCATTGTGGGTCAGGGACAAAGCAAGGGTTTTCTAATGCGTGTCAACCCATAGAAATTGCCAAGCCATCCGGCTGCTCTGTCTTCTCGTCTCTGCAGAGTCTTTCCAAGAGTGTGGGTGGGCTTTCCTGGGAAGAAATCTGCAGTTTCTTCTTGCCTTTGGTTTTGAAAACCAATGCCTGCAGCCAAAAAGGATGTGCTGGGGGGCTTGTTCTGACCTGGCAGGGGAAAATCTGAACAGTTCACAGACAGCAAGGAAACCAGTAGGGTCTCAGTAGCAGTCTAGGTCTAATTCTTAGACAGTACAAGAAAAGAAAGAATTGAAGAGTACAGAAAAAAATTCTCAGTTTTACTAACAATGTTAAAGGGTGGGATGTTAAGGTGGTGGTTTCTACTTGGTCACATTAGGATCTCCTTGGCATCTTGGTATGCTTTGCTAACATGCATTCAGTTCTTGCCCTTTTCTATTCATCATCTTTTTTCTTCAGGATTGAGATTAAATTTGATTGCTTAGTCTGTCTTCAGTGGTGCCCATTGGCAGGACAAGAAGCAATGGGCAAAAACTGACACACAGGAGGCTCCTCCTGAACATCAGGAAATACTTTTTCATTGTGAGGGTGACAGAGCAGTGGCACAGGTTGCCCAGAGAGGCTGTGGAGTCTCTGTCCTTGGAAATATCCAAAAGCCATCTGGACACAGTCCTGGGCAAACAGCTGTATGTGGCCCTGCTGGAGCACAGGGGTTGAACCAGATGATCTCCAGAAGTCCCATCCAACCTACACCACTCTTTGATTCTGGGATTTTTGTCTCAAGTTAGAGATCCATACCTACCTGTAACCATTTACTCCAATGCTACCTGGCAAACCTGGACTTCCAGTTAATAAGCACTATTAATCACTCTTAAGACAGCAAACTAAACTTCTGAGCATAGCACCCCTAGCCTGCTAACACTATCCATATCTGATGAGGTAATGATGTTCCATCAGGTCTCTCAGCAGGCTGAATTGTGCAGGTCAAATATTGTTTACATGCCACAAAAAAACCCCACCCAAAAGTAAGAAAATAAAGAAATCAAAAGAAAACAAAGGAATAAGAAAATAATGTCCTAAACTCAGTTAGGCCCTCTTCCAGGTGGCAGCAAGAAAACATGCAATCACACCATTTCTTCCAGACATTTACTGACCAACCACATTCTTGAAGGCCTCTAGGGGCAGAGATATTATGCCCTTCCCCAAACTATTACGTGCTCCTTAAATACCAAAAGCTTTCCCTACAGTTCATTCTGATCTTCCTTGCTGAAATGTAAGCTTCTTCATTCTTGCATTATCAGCTAAGTGAACAGGATGGAGTACCTGCCACATCCTTCTCAGCCTAAACAACCCCAGTTCTTTCAACATTTCCTTGTAGGTTGTTTCCTATAGCCTGCTGTTTTCCTCTCAACACTCTCCAACTAGTCCATTGCCTTAACAGGTGAGGGCCTGCACTGGTCCCTGTATACCAGCTGAAATGCTGAACATTGTAACAAAAGTTTCATTTCACTCTTCCTGCAGATGCTAGCGCTCTTTCTACATCCCACTTGATTTTCTTTGGTCACAACATCACCCTATGTTACTATGTATCCAGCTTGTTATCAAGGATAGCTCTAAATTGCTTTCTGTTTCAGAACTAGCCTGAGTATCTTTGCACAGTACGGTATTGTGTCAGACATATTACTGCCTTGAGTGATACCAATGTCCTATGCCCCTACAGTCTGACATACAGGTACGTTGTACCCACTAACATTCAAGCTAATTACTCTAATGATAAAAGCAGGTATTCAGAAGTATTAGGGCCAGAAGAGGAATGTTATGAGCATGCAGTATGATCTGCAAAGCACCAGGCACGACATTTCACCTAGTAAATTCTGGATAAAATACGTGACTTCTCTTTTAAGCTGCAGGAAAGATTTATTTCAGGAAAACAAGAAGAACCACAACAGTGTTAGTTTCCCTCCTTTAAGAACAAAACCTTAATTGTCCCTTTTTTCAAGGGGAAAGCTCTCACCCAAGCCCCTTAATTACAGCAGTGACTTGGATTTGGTAAGACTCATCCAGCTCCTAACTCATGCACTCTGCTGCAGTCTAAATCAATAAGACATTTATAGTAAAACTAGCCTCAGCAGAGAACTCACCATTAGGCAATCTAATGCTATTAAGCAAGATCATCAGCTGATGTAAATCGGCTGCTGGTGCCTATTTACCAAAACAGAGGATGTAGATCATTAAATACAAGTGCTAGATAGCCTTTTATGTGCTTGCATGCAGTTTCCCGAGTACCCACATTTTGTTCTGCAATACATAGTGTGACAGAATTACATGAAGAGAAAGAAAACAAGCCTAACAGTGAGGTAAGTGCCCCTGAATTTCTTGAACTGCTGTGTAAACTCAGAGAATTCTGCCAATAAGTATCAAAGGACAGAACTAATTTCCTGAAAGTCATTGCACCGTGACAAGCCAGTCCTTGGAAGGAAGGCAGTTATCTGTATTATTACACAGATGTTACTCCTTTAACATCTCATTCGTCTGTGCAAAACAAACAATTTCAAATGACAGTGCGAAGTAGAGACTGTTTTACTCTTGAGTTGACAGACTTTAAGACTTATGACAAGGGGACCAGCATCTCCCAGACTGTTTCATGGGAAAGGGCATAATAAAATCTGCTACTTTTTTTTTTTCTTTTTCATTTAGACAACAAAGTCTCAACCATATTTTCAGGACTCTCTCCTATCAGTATCATCACAGTTTTGTCTACCTTCCATTTCTGACTTCAAAAGAGAGTGGGGTGGAACAAACACAGGTCCTTCTTCTATCACAAGATTCCTTCTGGACACATCAAAAATGTAGCCATCTGCCTCAGACGCTCATTGCCCTGCGTGGCCAAGCATCATTTGTTCTGTGCAGGAATTACAAGAGTGTTCTACAGCCTCAGTTTGGCTCAGACATATCCTTTGGAAAAGCTGCGTTGCACTCGTTGTAAATGATCACATTTTTCAAGTGTTGAAGATGCAGTGGTTTCCTATGATTTCCACAGTGGGGTGGTGATTCACCATAACTCCCAGTACGAGCTCTAGTATCTGATTCTAGAAATATAACCTTTCTTAAGCTCATATATAAACAATGATTCCAATTTCCATTTTGTAAAAGCAGAAAGTTATTGAAAACTGCTACAGAATCATGGAAAATAGGAACTCCCTCTAGCTGGAAGATAGGATTAACTACAGTCAATCCTTAGCTACAGTCAGTCTTGGCTGACATTTGTCTGATGTGTCCTCAGAGATCCCAGTCAAAGGCTTCACACATTTCCACATGTAAAATACTCCAGTATTCTACACAGCCGCCCTCAATTTGTGTTCCTCCCATTTACTTCTATTTCCTACCAATCATGGAAAGGGAGCACATACATCCCTTCCTTTTTGTAACCACCTTTTATGGCTTTTGAAAATGGCTTTTTATGGTCCCTTCTCTTCAGGCAACCCTATTTCTTCAATCTTTCTTTGCAGTTATTCCAGAGCTTTGAACATCTTGCTACGCTCTTCTTGGCTCATGAGCATCCCTGAATAGGCTCTGCTATCTTTAAGTTACACATACATAGCATGCTTTGTTTGCTACATGAAAGTCAAGGTACTTCATATGTTGTTGCTCAAGACCTTAAATGCATGCAGTAAGACAACCTAGAAATTGCCCTCCTCTCCAGAGCACTTTCAAAATGAAGGTAGTTAGTAAGTTAGGAAGGTAACACGGAATTAAGGATCCATTGCAGATGAGGCAATTCAAGAGAACCTAACAGGAAACAAATGCCTAAATCTGGGTGTTTCCATGGGGAGTGGTAAGGCTTCAGTCTCATGGTGTGCCTTCAAAGAGCACCAGCTCTAACATGTTTACACCACTCCTTGGGATGCCATCCGACAAGCAGGAAATCTGCAGTCAGGGCACTGCACAAAGCATGACAGGAGACATGCAGAAGTGCAATGTGTTTGTGCAATTGCAGGATCCTTTTTTCTGTGTATGGGCACCTGCTTTATTCAAAGTATCTTTGTTGTGTCCAAGTATCTTTATTAAAAAATAAAAGGTCAAGACAGACAGTCAATAAGCAGTGTAAGAAACAGTTCAATTTTTTTCTCTGTGCATTATGTCATGGTAACTGCAATGAAGTGTGTTAAATACTGCCCAAAATGACAAAACAAAGGAAGAAACAACATCTTGAATTGCAAATGAGACCTTCATTCTTTTAATCAGTGTTAAATATACACTTGTATATTCTGAAAATATTTTAACCTGAAGAATAAATTACAGGTATAATCAACTATTTAAGACATTCTCCCTTTCACGGACATGCATTTTTTTCCATTATTCTTTCCATCTACAAAGTCAAAAATTTGACAGGATTATAATTTTCTGATAGTATCTTTTCCTTCACCCTTAAACACCTATCACATCTGAAAAACTTACAGGCTTATTGTACATTACTAAACAAAGAAGTTCACAACAACAGAGTTTTGAACACGAAAACCGTAAGGACCTTGGCTTTTTTCATTTTAAGGAACAAATACAAAAAATTCTACCTGAGAAATTATCCCTTATGATGTAATGTTTACTTTACGAGTAAATGGCATTAGCAGGATTTTACACCTCTCTCTTCTTAATTAGGAAAAGCTAACAAAGTTACCATACCAACTGAAGAGCCAGCATGACAAGTTGTTGCCAGAAGCTGAATAATTTACTCCAGTGCTTCACGGGCAGGAGACTGCTGGAACCAAGAGGATTGGCAGGAAAAAACATGCAGCGCGCTCCAGGATGAAAACAGCAGGGAAGCCCCAGAGTGCACCTGGAATGATACAGTAGTAAAACTGCTGCATGGCAGTAACTATTTCATCTCTCCAGAACTGTACACACTTGAATACACAGCCAAAAACTGCAGATGAACAGAACACAAACCACAGACTCAACCTACCTCTACCCAGTGAAAGGGGGAAAAGCTGTGACCCATAGATAGTGTCGTGGTTTAAGCCCAGCCAGCAACTAAGCACCACGCAGCCGCTCACTCACTCCCCCCCCATCCAGTGGGATGGGGGAGAAAATCAGGAAAAGAAGTAAAACTCCTGGGTTGAGATAAGAACGGTTTAATAGAACAGAAAAGAAGAAACTAATAATGATAATGATAACACTAATAAAATGACAACAGTAGTAATAAAAGGATTGGAATGTACAAATGATGCACAGGGCAATTGCTCACCACCCGCAGACCGACACCCAGCCAGTCCCTGAGCGGCGAATCCCTGCCCCCACTTCCCATTTCCTAAACTAGATGTGATATCCCATGGTATGGAATACACTGTTGGCCAGTTTGAGTCAGGTGCCCTGGCTGGGCATGAGAAGCTGAAAAATCCTTGACTCTAGTCTAAACACTACTGAGCAACAACTGAAAACATCAGTGTTATCAACATTCTTCACATACTGAACTCAAAACATAGCACTGTACCAGCTACTAGGAAGACAGTTAACTCTATCCCAGCTGAAACCAGGACAATAGCCTTTCTGCTTTAGCAAGGAAAGAATAGATACAGGTTTGTTGCAAGTAAACATGAGCTCCATTCTGCACCTTGACACTGGTTCACAAGTACTGGGTCTGTACCATATATTATAGTCGTAAACTCACTAGCAGCATTAGTGTCCTTGTCTTCCCTGCACAGCAGGACTGGAACAAACTTGGACACACATGCTCACATGAAAGCTATTATCCCTCTCCAAAATACTGAAGAAGAAAGCTTACTTCATTGACCAAAAGCACAAGCAGAAGCAGGAGGAGAGAGTTGTCAGGCTTCCACTTTCTTCCCATCCAAACGCTAATGTTCCACTAACACTTCACTTGCAATTACCCTACTGCAAATTTGATAGAACAGTGGGTATTTGTATACACTTCTGCTTACACTTAGAGAAAAGAGCTGCGATTCTCTGAGATCTCTGTTCTGTGCGTCCATGTTAAACAGAAAACTACCAATACCTTCTTCTATCTACTTGTAGGAAAGCAGGGACAACTATAATTTTCTAAAATCTAGTCAAACCTTTACATGGAGATCACACTAATTGGGACATCAAAAGCAGGATATTTATTTTTTTCATGGGAAAGACATCCCTGTAGTATACACCATCATGTTTTTAAAAAACAAAAAAAAGCAGGTAACATTCCCTGCCATAATTGCATGTAGTGGCTAGTTCACAAAAAACCCAACTGTTATTGAAAGATGTCCCATGTGGATAGTTTCTCCTTCCATTCATTTAGTATTACACTGTTACTCAATACCTCCTACATGTAAAGCAAGTGGGTCACACAGGTTCTGTGTAACAGAAACATTCCAATCCCAAGACCAACCTGCTGCATGTCATAGGGATAGATCAGTCTCAAACCAAGCACATTTGAGGTACTCATAACTCCGGTGTTTCAAAGTTGAATATTCAAAGGATTTCCCCTGAAAAAAGAGGAACTTCTCTGGGATTTTTTCATCCTATCCCTCTCTTAAGTTTGAGAAATGAACAGTCCCAAGATTTTGATGATCCCAGGGAAGTCTAAGCCACCTGGCCACTGTTTACATTTAAATAGTCAACTGCCCATAAGTTTACTGCAATATTTCTTCTCTATTCCCTTTGCACAGCTTTTCTTTCAGCTCCCGTTCTCTTCAGTTGCCTTTAATAATTTCCTTTAACTACCTGGAAATGCATGATGAAGGTGAAAAAAAAACCTGTTAAGCAAAAAAATGTAAATGTCTCCTTAGGAAACAGATGAGAAGTTACAAGAGGAATGGATCTTGATGCCTTTGGGAATTGGAAATTACAAACTGAGAGTTTCAAGGATAGCAGGCATGCTCTACTAGCAGTCAGGTGGTCAGTAGATTTGAATGACATCATCCCATTCATCGACAGGCCAGACACCATTGTACTGCACATTGGATGGTGAGCTCTTCCAGTCCCATGTCTTCACAGGAACCTTCCAGTCTGGGCCATAGTTGGCTTCAACATACTGACGGGTTTCACAGGGCACGTGTACCTTGAGTTCTACAAATTCAGTCCAACACAGAGTAAACTTTGGAAAGAGATACCTGTGTCATAACAAAAGAACATGGTCACTGGCAGAAGGCTGAAATACATCTCTAAATAAGTTCATGGAGAAAGCAATCAACTGCAGCAAGTGGCCATGTTACATTTATAATATTTTTTTTCTTAATTCATAACTTCCTATTTATAAAATATTATTTACATACTGGACAAGGGTGTTATTACCAACAGTAACTGGTTAACATTTGCCACATGTTCTTAGGAAGGAGCATTTCAAATTCTTCTGCTGCTTATTCCCATATCATTCTGCAACCTGTAGGAAATCACTTAGTCCCTGTCCTTACTTTTCCACTTACAAACTGGATTGAACAGTCAACTCATCTAGAAGGGTGTCAAGAGGATGATACATGTTATTTGGTAGCAAAGATTTTGATAAAAGCAGCATTAAATATTTTATTATGAGTCAGGCCTTTTTTAAAAACAAGTTTTTACCTTTCTTCAATCTTACTAAACAAAGCATGCAATTCCCTTTCAGTACCCAAGTTTAAACACAGTGCCAGACTTGGAGCAGCTGCAAAGAATTAAGATACAGCTGTCACCCTGTACTTTCTGAAACCTTCTTGTCCCATTCAAATTTTAAAAATAATTTATTCTACCAAACTGACCTTGTTCTGTACCTATCATTTTCTGTAGAAGGGCCAACATAAGCCCTACCTATAAGTATGCTTCCACCAGTGGAAGTTCACAGGTTAATTTCACAGTTTGATCAGAATGACATCCTATAAAAGTACAATGACAGAGTCAATGAGTTAAACAAGTAAATATCAAAGCCTGTGTACTATTCCTGCAGAGGATCACCAACGCTTCTGAAGCTGTGAAGTCTTCCACAGAAAAAAAAGTGATCTTAAAATTCCTTTTCACAGGTTAAAATGAAACCATAAGCACTTAGACCTTTTGAAAAAGAAAGTTAAAAGATTTGTGCATTTGCATGAATTAGAAACCCCACATAAACTTATGCATAAGCTTAATTTTATTTCTAAGCACTGTGCAAACAGTATCAGAAAATAAAACAAACTTGCTTTTATGCCTTAAATGGAGGGGGAGAAAAATGTGATCAAGCACTTTTGTATATATATATCTAGAGACTACTGATTAGCTCTACACTAAACCAAAAAGCAAAAAAAGTCAGCTACCAAGGGGAAAACAAGATAAACAAACCTTATTAGTGGATCTATAATGATCAAATAGCTATATAGCTGTTATTAACCCAGGAAATCATTCACCTATCAGAATTGCAGTGGGCGTGCATGTGCAAAAGCTATCAGCAAACCACTGAAATAACACATCCTCCAGAGAGTGAACTCTGAATAATAATTCTAAGGAGAATGAACAGGTAATTTAAATAAACTAATCTGCAAATTAAAAAGTCAGTTGGAAACTTCACCAAAATAATTATTTAACTATTATTAAAATCAAATGTTTACATTCACTGACGAAAAATGTAGCTTTCAGTGGTGCTTCACACTACTGGAATCCTTGCTCATTGTCTGCTCATTCCAAGTGGCTGGGATAAGGCTATGTACTCTTGTACATATACGCTGCTCACCGTTTTTTCTTCCAACTTCATTCTCATGAATCTTTTGACACAGAAGTACTGAAAAGATTTTATACTTACACAAAGTCCTCTATGTTAAGAACCTACAGAATTAACTCATTTTAAGGATTAAAGCATACAGTTTAGATTTGATTCCCAGATTCGGGTTTTGTAAATACTTATTCTCTGCTGAAGAATGCAACTGTCTAGCATTAATTTTGTAAACAAATAGGAGGTCTCAATTGCTGTAACTCCAAGACAAGACATGGAGGATGTACATGCTTGCTTGTTTCTGCAATGTTGAGGAAGTATTTGTGTACATGAAAATACCAATCACACAGCCAGACTTGTAAGGTTTAAAAACCAGCTCTCTGAGTAAACAGAGACTAAAAATTACTAATGAAAAATATTTCAGAGACTAAATAAGAAATACTTTCTCTCTTCATATTTTTATTTGGCAAGATGTATAGAAAGTATACCTATGCAAATATTTAGCTTAGTGAAGAAAATGTCTTTTACCCTTCATTTTTAAAAACATAAAATATCTTGGAATAGAATTCCCACACTTAATTGTGATGATCTAGTAGCAACCGGTATCTCTTTTGATACCACATAAACGGCTGTTGAGATTCATTTAAATTTGTTTAAGTGGGTTTAGGATTCAGTATGATCAAACAATCACTTCTCTTTTGACTAACCTCAATTTACCTTCCCCCAAAATTTTGGAAGGGCTGAAGACTAAGCAAAATTGAGGGTCATTCTGGCATTGCAAGCATTCAGATCAAGCATGCTAAATCATCACATCTCACAGCTCAAAAGCTGTGATCTTTTTTCTCTTTCTGAGAAGGTATTTGGAATAATACATATCTGGAATTATTTGGCTAAGCATTCTGAACAGCCATGTTGTGTCAGGGCTCAGGGCCTTTATAATGGTAAACAAGAAGGTTTTTTGGTGCTTTTCTGTATGGATTAAGTACAGTAAACTAGGCCTAAGAAACACCAGTTCAGAATTAGAGGCTTCCTTATGCTACTATGTCTAAGCAAATTATTTCTCATTGAACTAGAAAGTCATGCTGGTAAACTCTGAAAATAATTACAACCAAAAGTAAGTACTAGGTTACAAGAAAAGGATAGTGTTTATGAAAGCTGGAGTTCCAAAAGAGCTGTAATATCCTAGGATGCAAGAGCTGGAGCATAGCACAGGTTCACATCTACCTTCTATTCTCATGCATTGGACCAGTCATATCAAAGGGGGAAAAACAGCTCTCAAGTACCCAAGGTCTGATGCTACAATGGAATTTTTGAAAGACCACATCAACTCCACTGGCATGGAAACAGCTACTGCAGTTTAGACACAACAGAAGCACAAAGAAAAGGAAAAGAATTTATTTGTCAGCTTCCTCCTCAGAATACATCACACAAAATCCTCCAAAATCTTGTATGGAAAAACCAGACATTAAGCCTGCTTTGGAAAACTATGAAATTTTTGCTGTATTCTAAGAAAAATACTCTGCAACATACCACATTTTCTGCGGGAATATTCCACAAGCTCTTCCTTTAGTCTATTTGTAAGCGTGCCTTTTGACTCCCATCATCAAAATACCTTCCCCAGTCTTTATCATTTCAGAACAAAGATAACTAAGACAAGGACTCAGACATTATCACCATCTTGATGAAAGTGTTCACTAAGTTCCCATTAGCTAAATATAAGCAAATAGTTCAGTTCAGGCAAAATATGAAAGATAATGAAATCCTATAGAAGTCAGTAAAGTTTTCCACTAGTCTGCAACTGTCTCTTTTGAGTTAAGGTGGGTGACGGAAAGAAATTAATCTAATTATCAAAACCTGTATTCAGTTTGCTGAGTAGATTAGGAAGCTGTTGTACTTATTTGCTCATTTAATACTGAAAAGTATGAAGCAAGAAATGCAGGATTGTATTTTAAATCCCATTTTCAGAACATGAACAACAAGGTCTGAAGTAGTCACCTGTGTTGCTGTCACAACATTAGTCAATGAAGTATTCCAAATTATTACCACAGAATCAAAAACTATGGGGTTTACTTCGCAAGGACAGTTGAGGCTTTCTGCCATAATACTCTGTCATCACGATAGATGCCTAAAAATTAATTTTTAATGCAAAATTAATTCATAGAATGGTTTGGGTTGGAAGAGACCTTAAATATCTTCTAGTTCCAGGCCCCCTGCCATGGGCAGGGACACCTTCCACTAGACCAGGATGCTCAAAGCCCCATCCAACCCAGCCTTGAAAACTTCCAGGTATGAGGTGTACAGGGACAAGCAACCTGTTCCAGTGTCTCATCACCCTCATAGTAAAGAACTTCTTCCTTATAGCTCATCTAAAATATATTGAGGTGCTGCAGCATGTCCAGAGAAGGGCAACCAAGTCGGTGAGGGGCCTGGAGCACAAGTCTTATGAGGAGCAGCTGAGAGAACTAGGGTTGTGTAGCCTGGAGAAGAGGCTGAGGGGAGACCTTATCGCTCTCTACAACTACCTGAAAGGAGGTTGTAGTGAGGTGGGTGCTGGTGTCTTCTGTCAGGTGGCTGGCGATAAATGAGGGGAAATGGCCTCAAGTTGCTGCAAGGGAGATTTAGGTTAGATATTAGGAAAAATTTCTTTATTGAGAGGGTTGTCAGACATTGGAACAG